GTCGGGATCGTGATCAACACAGAGACCCGAAACTCCACCTTTCCTTTCTTCTGCTTCGTCATCGTGAAGCAACTGCGTCCAGAGCTCGTTGGGAAGGCAACAAGAGGATCACGTCTCGGCGGCAAGGATTGCGCGCATGGTTTACAAAGCGATTCCGCATCTCGAAGTCCTTTCGGCGGCGAAGGCGGTAATCTTTTGCTTTTGCGGCTGAATCTCGGGATCCTGCTGCACGCTCCATTCTTCATCTCTAAAATATCTGAAATCTGTCTAGAACAAGTCAACCCTTCAGCCATCTCAGTCCGAACCTCAGAGAAATACATTTGTAAACCATCCCATTCTGATCACTACAATCGGGTTAAATGGTGATAATTTCTTTGATGGTCACAATCTGTTCGCATGTATCTCCGAGGAAGAGGAAATATTGGCTATATCATAGGTGATACTAAACAGCCTAACTTGAATGACATAACTTAAGTCATTTGGGATGCGGAAAACTCAATGGTAATGACATGGTTGGTCAATTTCATGACTAAAGAGATGTGCAAATTATTTTTGTTACTCTACAACCAAGAAATTATGGGACAATGTTTCAGAAATGTACTCCGATCTTGGAAATCAATCCCGAGTTTACATGTTGACTCTACGACTTGGAGAAATTTTCCAAGGTGAGGATTCTGTGATAAAATATTTCAATTCTTTCAAGCGAATTTAGCAGGACCTAGGCTTATTCAATGAGCATGAGTGAAAATCAAACGATGACTGCAATTAATACAAGAAGATAGTGGATACTGATCGAATTTTCAAATTTCTTGCCGGTCTAAACATTGAATATGATGAGGTCCATGGCCAAATAATTGGAAGAAATCCCTGCCTCCAATTGGTGAAGTTTTTTCCGAAGGTAAGGAGAGAAGATAGTCAGAGACATATGATGTTGGGGAATAAGACTGCAGGTTCAACTGTGTCCGTGGAAGGATGAGCGCTGGTTATTCCTAAAGCTCAAGTAGGCAGAAAAACTTCTCATAAACAGCGTGTAGAAGACAAAAACAACATGCAATGTGACTACTGTGGAAAGCCAAGCCATACCCGCGAAAAATGCTAGAAGTTGCTTGTAAACCACCTAATGGAAGGGAAAAAAATCTGGTGAACCTAGCACACCTACAACAAATGAGGCTGAGTCATCCCAAGTTAGTGAAGAACAATTAAGTCATCTTCTTAAATTGCTGAAATCTTGCTCATCATCTAATGCTCCTATCGGTTCTGTAACACAAACAGGTAGAATCCTTTGGCTTTATCTGTTCTAGGAAGTACCACTCCTTTGATCATTGATTCAGGAGCACCTGATCACATGACAAACTGTTCTCAATTATTTGATTCATAGTTTTCATGTTTTGGTTTCGAAAAAAATCAGAATAGTTGATGATAGTTTTTCACGTATTGCAGGAAAATAAAATATTAAAATTTCAAAAAATTCTCTTTGAAATCTGTTTTACATGTTCCAAAACTTACATGTAATCTTCTTTCTGTCAGCAAATTGTTTAAAGATTCTGATTATTCCATATTTTTTTCTCTTTTCAATTGTGTTTTTCAGGACCAGAACTCGGGGAGATGATTGGAACTGCTAAAGAAATAAATGTGTTGTACTACTATGATGAAATCGATTCTGCAAATAAAACAATTCATGGATTAGGTAGTACAAATTCAAGCTTTGACTATGATCAAGTTATGTTATGACATAAAAGATTAGGACATCCTAGTTTTTCATGTCTCAAATCTTTATTTCCTAAACTATTTAAAAGTATTAATTGTTCAAAACTTCATTGTGGAGCGTGTAATTTATTTAAAAATTATCGTGTTTCATTTCCAATAAAATCATATTCTGCTTCAAAACCATTTTATTTGTTGCATAGTGATATTTGGGGCCCATCTAAAGTTAACACACTTTCTGAAAAAAAATAGTTTGTAACATTTATTGATGATCACACATGAGTTTGCTGGGTTTATTTATTGGAAAAGAAATCTGAAGTTGAACAACAATTTAAAGATTTTTTTCACATGATTGAAGATCAATATAAAAAAAAATTGACATTCTAAGAACGGATAATGAGACTGAATATTTCAACAAATATTTGAGAATATTTATTTTAGAAAATTGTATTCTGCATTAATCCACTTGTCGTGACACACCACAACAAAATGGTATTGCTGAAAAGAAAAATAAACATTTACTTGAAGTTACCCGGACACTTATATTTTTCATGAATGTTCCTACATATCTTTAGGGTAATGCACTCCTTACCTCCTGTTATTTAATAAACATAATGCCATCTCGAGTTTTAAAATTTAAAACACCTTTATAAGTCTTGAAAAATGATTTTTCCACATCTAAGATAACAACTGATCTCTCTTTAAAGGTTTTTGGATGTGTTTGCTATGTGCATGCCCAAATGTGTTTCTCTCAAAACTTGATCCCAAAGCTGAAAAATATATTTTTATTGGGTATGCTTCCAATAAACGTGGGTACAAATGTTTTAATGCTGTCACAAAGTAAATTTTTTGAGAGCATGAATGTTAAGTTTGTCGAGGATCACTCTTTTCTTAAAAATAATTTTCTTCAGGGGAAAATTTAATTGAAGAAAATAATTTTTGGAAAACTTTATCCATTTCTTTAACTAATTCTGATATGGAAATTAGGGTCAACACTACTAATCCTATTTTGCCAGATGTTATCTTATCAGAGACAGGGGGAGAAATACTTCCAACAAATCATAATCCAGTCGATCATAATCCTCAACATGAGCTGCAGGTTTTTACTAGGAAGGAATTCCATAAAGTTACTACAACCCCAGTTATTCCCTCAGCAGATGTTCAATTACCTTTGCCGAATAATGACCCTACAACTCAGAGTAATCTTCCCTCTACTTCCACTCATTCTGATCTTGATCTTCCAATTGCTTTCCGAAAAGGAATCTGAACAGACACGAAATATCCTATCACACAATACTTATCATATGAAAAACTATCAAAAAATCATAGAGCATTTGTGTCTAGGATTTCTAATATGCTTGTTCCAAGAATTGTTCAGGAAGCATTAGGTGAATCAAGTTGGATATTAGCTGTGATGAAAGAAATAAATGCTCTTAAAAGAAATAACACTTGGACAGTCATTGATTTATCTAAAAACAAAAAGACGGTTGGGTGCAAATGGGTTTTCACGGTGAAGTTTAAAGCTGATGGAAGTGTGGAGAGATACAAAGCGAGGCTAGTAGTAAAAGGATTTACAAGGATTTACTCAAACTCATGGTATTGATTACCAAGAGACGTTTGCTCCTGTTGCTAAAATTAACTCTCTTAGAGTACTTCTTTCTCTTGCAGTTAACTTCAACTGGCCACTTCATCAATTTGATATAAAGAATACGTTTTTAAATGAAGAATTGCGAGAAGAAGTATATATAGACCTGCCCCTCGGATTTTAAGAAAAAATTGGAAAAGGTAAAGTGTGCGAATTAAAAAAATCTCTGTATGGGTTAAAGCAGTCTCGTAGAGCTTGGTTTGAGCATTTTGGTAATGTTATCAAGAGACATGAATTCTCTCAAAGCCAAGCTGATCACACTCTCTTTTTCAAACATTCCATCAATGATAAAGTAACCATTGTGATTGTATATGTAGATGACATAATCATGACAGGGGATGTCTCTCTGGAGATTAGCAACTTGAAGAGGAAAATTGAAGCCAAATTTAATATTAAGGACTTGTAAAAGCTGAAATATTTCCTAGAAATGAAGTTTGCAAGATCAAAGGAGGGAATTTTTGTTAATCAACTCAAGTATGTCCTTGATTTACTCAAAGAAACATGAATGACAGGTTGCAAGGCAGCAAATACGCTAATTGAACCTAATATAAAGTTGAAAACAACACCAACTAATGAGGTAATGGACAAAACACACTATCAGAGATTGGTAGGGCGACAAATCTATTTGGCTCACACTCGACCTGATATAGCCTTTGCATTGAGTGTTGCGAATCAATTCATGCATTCACCTGGACCTACTCACTTAAAAGCTGCATTCAGAATTTTGAGATACCTCAAAAGAACTCCTGGAAAAGGACTTTTGTTCAAAAAGGGAGAACATTTTCTAATAGAGGCCTACACAGATGCAGATGGGGCAGGAGATGCAAATGATAGAAGATCCAATTTAGGTTATTGTATCTTTGTAGACAAAAATCTGGTTACTTGGAAAAGTAAAAAACAAAGTGTAGTGACAAGAAGTAGTGCAGATAGTGACAAGAAGTAGTGCTGAAGCAGAATTCCGCTCGGTGGCACATGGACTCTGTGAAGTATTATGGATAAAAGATTCCTGGAAGAGTTGAAGAGTTCGATACCAGCACCTATTAAATTTTATTGTCACAACAAGGCTGCAATCTCTATAGCTCATAATCCAGTTCGACATGACAAAACAAAACATGTAAAAGTTGATAAACATTTCATTAAGAAGAAGATAGATAGTGATGTGATATGTATGTCCTACATACCCACTGCTAGCCAAACAATAAATATACTAACAAAATACCTTTCCAAAGTGCAACACGAGAATCTAGTTAGCAAGCTTGCCATGAGTGACATCTTCATACCAGCTTGAGGGGGAGTGTTGAAAGACCTCGAAAATAATTAGGATTATATTCCATATTTGTTATACTCTATATTTAGAGAGTTATGAATTGTATGAGTGATCTTAAGAATCACTATTTATTTTCTCCTTAATTAGGGAAATTAGCTGCCTCTTATATTTGTTATTATTCCTTTCGTTGTCTACTGCATCCTGCTTTTATTGCTTTCCTTACCAGTAAATCCTGTAATGGGTATTTATACCCCTCTTTGCATCAATAAGAATAATCCCTCTTACATTACTTCAATTATATTGCATGAGAACTAAATTGTAAATTGCTCCACCTATCTTTCTTGCATTACTTAAGGCTATAATCATATCATCTTTCTTTTGCAGGTTTCAGCGGTTGATGCTTCTAAACAACTCAGACCTTTTATAACTTTTGTGCTTGGTAAGTTACGTGGAGCAGCACCTATTTCGCAGTGTTTGCAGTTTTTTTATGTTAAAGAAAAGCTTTACAATGTAGATTTCTTTTGGTCATACTTTTTAATTATTTTTAAGTTACATTTTATAGATTATTTTTGATACTCAGTTTATGAAATTCGTAGGAAGAGCATGTTTTACATGAACGTGTTCCTCTGTTATAAATCTATTTTATTGGAGCATAACAAGCACATATAATAACTGAGATTGTAGAACCGTTCATCTGAGCTTATTCAACTGTATGTCAACATGCATCTGGGTACACTTAGTATAAGATGGGATGATTTTTTTTCCTCCTAGTGGTTGAGTATTTTTTGTTGCTAATCTCGCTGAGCTATTGTTGATTGGTGGTATTTGAGATCTAAAGATTTTTGTTTCCTCCTTGGTATCTTTACTAACAAAACTGTTTTAACTTGTTTGAAAAACGATGTATAAGAGCAGAAAAAGGAAAAAGTAGGGGACTATTTTGTTATTTGAGTAGACCGAAAATTGGTTCTTTAAATAAAGAGTTACAAAGGTGAAATATTGAGAAGAAATCAACTCTTGTAAATAGGAAATGAGAAATTTAAATTTCACCACAAGTTCTAATTTATAAAACTATGAAAGATACTAGATAATATTTGCATGGATCAGTCCCAAGTAAACCCAGTATAGAAACCTTCCAGACAAAAGAAAATCTGAGCTGGAAGATGGGACGTCCATAGGGATACTTGCCAAATAAAAAGGCAACTAGCTGAGAGTGATGGGAACTTATAAATTTAAAAATTCTAATATTAATGACATGTTGTATTCTACTTAAGTGGAGGTATTATGAGAGGGAGAGAGATTTATGCCGAACTTATTTTATTTACTTAGTTATATTCTAATATTTTATTTTGATATCGTAGCTTATTTTAATATTTTGTTGTTTGTAGGACCCATCACATTTTATGATTTAATGCTAGGATATTGAAGTGTTACTTTTATTTTGTTAGGGCGTTACCTTTTAATGCTTTAATATGTTAGGATGTTGATGTTACGCCTTACTTTACACTTTGGAGTTTATGCAACACTTCATACTTTACACTTATTTTGAATTTCAAGCTTACACCTCAAATCGTCTTGATGCTTATGTCTCACATAACAGATGAAAATCATCTCAATATCCAATTGTGCAATTTAAAACTTGGATTTACTTATCTCACTTTAAACTTGAAATGTTTTACATAAACTTCCTGCCGTAATAGGTAAATTAAGCTATTCTTTGTTGGATGCATTTTTGTCAGAGTTTTTCTTTTTCTTTTTTCTTTTCTGATATATACATCTTACAGGAGGTCCTGGTAGTGGCAAAGGCACACAATGTGCCAAGATAGCAGAAATGTTTGGATTTGCGCATCTAAGTGCTGGAGAGCTGTTGCGAAAAGAAATTTCATCTGGTTGTGAAAATGGGTATATTCTCATATTAGGTGTGTAACTTTTAAAATGAGGCATTTTTGTGAAGTAATTTATGTAATGCGTTGATCTTTTGAATTTGGATTACAGAGAAATGATTCTTGAGATTATTAAAGAAGGGAAAATTGTTCCATCGGCAATCACTGTTGACTTAATTCGCAGGGAAATTGAGTCGAGTGAGAATCGAAAAATTTTAGTTGATGGCTTTCCGCGAACCACTGAAAATCGTATTGCTTTTGAAAGCATGGTAAGTTTTTCGCTGCAATGCTATCACTCAGAGGCGTAATAGGTTTTTTTGGATGTTTGTAGCTTCACCTTTTCCCTTAATCTATATTTTTGTGACATCCTTTCAGTGATATAGTACTATGTTCAAGTCAAGCGTATCCATTTGAAATACATTTTTTTTTCCTTTTTTTCTTAAATTTTGAATTTTATGGGTTTGAGAAATGCTGACAGAGAAGCTCAGCTGTGGGAGTGAATGCAGTTTCAATACTAACGAAGAAATAAATTTAATAAAGCTAACTTGTATGTATATGTCCTGTGCAGATGTATCTGTTCCAAGAGTAGGAGAAAATCTGGAATAATTTTGCGGGAAAATAAATTCCTCATTAAATATTCTTACTTATGTTAAAATGCACCACCCATTTAAGGCTAGCTCTGTTCGTGTGAGGACAAGGCGTCTCAGTTTCAAACCTATTTAAGGTGTTGGCTGGATTTATCAGAGTAAACAAATTTAGAATTTACTTTTGATGGAAATGTAATTTACTTTTTATTGAAATGTTTGGACTAGCATTCTAACTGTTGTAAAGCAAAGTGCAAAAGTAGAGCTAAGTAGAGGAGTTAAACATATTTAAAGTAATGGCCAAAATAATTGAATTTAGGGTTTAGAGGTGTTATCGCCTGGTTGTATGCTTGGACACTAGTGACCTTTTAGGATGACATGTGCACTCAGTAATGAGGATCATAGGAGGGACCTCTCATGGTGCGTATTAAACAATCTAAAATTTAATCTTGTGCTTGGTGCAGATATTTCACAACAGGCAGATGAGAAATGACAATAAAACTTGCAGAGAAAGTTACACTTGGTATTGACAACAAAATTGACATTATATGAATGATCTTGAGTGAGCTCAATTATTTTTCGACTATGAATTGTTAAGAAGATGAGTAAAAAAAAAAATTATTTGAATTTAGCTTGTTATCTTATTAAGTTGAACACGAGTTATTTATAAACAATTTTACTTGAGTGACCTATACAAATTATAGAATAAATATGTTCCAATGTATGTTCTATGTATATTTGCATATATATATATATATATATATATATATAACAATTTTACTTAGTGCAGATATAGCTCGTTATCTTATATATATTTAAATGTATGAATATATGTGTGTGTAAAATTTTGTTTGTGTATGCACACATATGCTGATATAGATGGGGATGTTATTAGTAGAGTTCATGTTGGATGGTTGAAGTGAAGGAATGCATCAGGCCTATTGTGTGATAGAAAAGTACGCTTTGACTTAAAAGTAAAATTTTATAAGATGGTGATAAGGCCTACAATACTTTATGGCGTAGAATGCTGGTTTATAAAAGAGAAACATAAAACTAAGTTAAGAGTTGTTAAGATGAGAATGCTTAGGTGGATGAGTGACTTTATTTAGAGATAAAATGCAAAACAAATATAGTTGTTAAAGGGTTGGTGTAGCTCCAGTGACAGATAAGGTTAGAGAGAGTCATCTTAGATGATTTGATCACATTAGATGTCGACCATCTGATGATTCAGTTAGGAGAGTAGATGTTCTATATTCGACTTATGTTAAGAAAGATAGAGATATATCTAAAAAGGTTTGGGCATTTTGTATAAAAATGTTCTTAATTTTTTAGAATTAAATGAAAATAGGACACAATGGAGAAACTGAATTCATGTAGCTGACCCTACTCAGTGGGATAAAAGGCTTGTTGTTGTATGTACACATATACAAATACATAAATATGCATGCATATATGTATTCAAATTCATATTTTGATGCGTATATAAATACACTTGTTATTGAGCAAGGCTTTATTCATTTTTAGCTCATTGAATAATGAGTTCATAAAAAACTAGTGTTGTAAATGAACTGCACATTTGATGAACTACTTATAGCTTTACTCAATTAGAGATTATCGGTGATCATGTGATTAAATAGTTGAACGGGTTTGAACACTTTTGTAAATAACTGATTGTTAAATGAAAAAATTTGAGTAATTTGCTGCTCGATTTATTTCTGTCTATGAACAATATCGTTTAATGCTTGTGGATAAGCTTGTTAAAAAGTTTGATTAGAGCTCATCCACAAATAGTATCACTTAAAATTTTATTTTTAAGCTCAACAAGCATTGCTTGGTACGACTCATTTATTTTTTTATACAAGCTACTTATATAAAGCTCAATTAAGGCTCAATTAATGCTCAATTATGGACATTTATTTAATTAATGAGCTATTTGTTAATAATCTCAACAATCCTTATATATAGGATTGTAAATGAGCCAATGCATTTGATGAACAACTCGAACTCGGCTCAATTTATTCCCAATCATGTTTGTTTATATTAGTAGACAAACAAGTTTGAATATTTTTTTAGAACTCGAAGGTTAAATAAATCAAATTTGAACATAATTCAACTCTTTTATTGTTCAATATGTATATTTAATAATAATATATTATAATTTAATACTAATATGTATGCTTTTCATTGATGATATCCTTCTTGAATAGAGAAAGAGTTCAGAAAAATTTGAATCATGGAGGTCTACATTAGAGTTTGAGTGGTCAACTCTTTAAAAAGAGTGAATGTTTTAGATATCTCGTGTCTATTAATCAAATTGATTGTGATATAGATGAGGATGTTATTAGTAGAATTCAAGTTGGATGGTTGAAATGGAGGAATACATCAGACCTATTATGTGATAGAAAAGTACCACTTAAACTTAAAAGAAAAATTTTATAAGATGGTGGTGATAATGGCGTTGCTTTATAGCATAGAATGTTGGCCTATAAAAGAGAAACATCAAACTAAGTGTTGTTGAGATGAGAATGCTTAGGTGTATGAGTGGCTTGACATTAGGGACTAAATGCGAAATGAATGTATCCGAGGAAGGCTGGTGTAGCTCCTGTGACATAGAAGATTAAGAGAGATTCGTCTTAGATGGTTTGGTCACATTAAATGTCGTGATGACCTGGTTAGGAGAGTAGATGTTTTAGATTCGACTTTTGTTAAGAAGTGTTGGGATAAACCTAAAAAGACTTGGACATGTTGTATAAAAAACGTTCTTAATTCATTATAATTAAATGAAAATATGATACTTAATATCACCCAGTGGAGAAAAATGATTAAGCAACCAACCTCACTTAGTGGGATAAAGGCTTCTTCTTGTTGTTGTTGTTGTTATGATGAAGCAAGCAATGTCTCTTATTTCTCATAAACAAAACATCAAAGCAGGCTCACCAGTAATATTTACCAAATAAATGGCTGACTTGAATGATAAGCCAATGTTTCTCGCAATTCATAATTGTCTGGTTCTCTAGCCAACAATCCTAAAAATCATGAAGGGAAAAACCAATTTAAGTTAACAGGATGCGGTGCAAGATGTCCCTTAATCCAAAAGAAATCAAGTAGCCTGCATAAAATAAAAATCATAAATACCTCTATTGAGGAGGGACATCAAAGTCAAGCGACTAAGATACCTCTCTGACCGTTCCTTAATTCTCAACAAATCAGCAAGTTCAAATGCAAAAATTTAGCACAAAAGGAGGGAATATCAAGTTCAAGCTGGTAGAATGTTCCCCTAGCTGCCTCTCAAGTTTTAGCACATCAAAGAAGTACCAAATAAGAGGAGGGGAGATCAAACTTAAGCCCCCTTCAATCCCCATTAAATGTGCAGAATTTTAATGATTAAATCTTAAATGCCCTACAAAGGGAGGGGGCATCTAATTTAAACCGGAATGGTGCATCTCCAACCGCCCAGTAAGCCCCTAGAATTCAAGGAATTCCAAATTTAGAAATCATAGCAATCCCATGAGAGGAGGAAATAATAAAAAAAAATTATTAAAATACAAATTTGGTTGTTCTTTACTCTCCACTGTATGCTATTATGTGTTGTGAAGGGTTTTGAGAAGAGGATGTAATGATTATTGTGGTCAATTGTATAGGAATGAGAAGTTAGCACATATTATTGAGAACTACATGCGTGCCTTGATATTGAATCATCATAGCATAGAGCATGAAGTTATACTGCTGAAGATAATTCCTGGGATGAAGTTTGGTTTCATGCCAATTTATACCATACGGTTTTAATGAGTACTTGCCGTTATAATAGAAAGTTGAGGCAAAAGAGTGAAGAATATGATTCATACAGCCTAAGGGAGAAGCCATATAAATCATCATATTTTATCATAGCACGGCAAATGACATATTGCTAATGACAATTGAAATAAATAAAGTCCATGAGTAAAGATACACTAAGAAAAGAAATGCTCAATGGTAATGGCCCTATGGTGGTATGCAAATTCTGATGTTGGAAAAGATTTGCTGGGAAGAGAACTAATCCACCCTTCTTCATGCTCCTCTGAAGTCATATTGGAATTGGAAATTTTGATTTCAGGATGGGCGATAGAAAAAAATTCAGTCAGTGCAGTATTTTATTATTATTATTATTATTATTATTTTGGCTTAGCTTTTAATATTCTGTTGGTAAGGATGCATATAGAAGGAGGGGATGGGACTGGGGATTGTGTAGTTACACAATGCTTAGGGTTCTCACCAATGTGGGTTTTAAGAAGGGATTGATGTATGTAGTATTTTCCTTGCATGAAAGAGAAATAACTTCTATGAGTCAAATCTGTTAGCTTGAGGTTATAGTTGAGGTAACCTAATGATGACAGCTCGAGGCTTTTTCTCTAACCATGCAATAGTCAACATAATACTTGCTTGCAAGGCATCAAAAGCTATTTAGAAAACTTATCTATAAGTTGTTATAAGCGACTTTTGACGACTTTTTGCCACTCTGATTTCATGTTTGTCTGTTAAAGGTTTCTCATTCTCTTTCAGTTTGTTTACTGATGTGACCTTGGACAAGTAATGCAGACTGGAGTAGAACCAGACTTGGTTATTTTCTTTGACTGCCCGGAAGAGGAAATGGTGAAGCGTCTGCTAAGTCGCAATCAGGTTGACTTGCCACATTGCACTTACAATATATAGTTATTAAAATATGATAAAATTCTTTTTTGGTTTTTCAACTCGATGTGATTATTTACTATGTTGTCATGTCTTACATTAGGGCAGAATTGATGATAATATCGAGACAATCAAGAAACGCCTTGAAGTTTTTGATAAGTTAAATCTTCCTGTTATTAACTACTACTCTAGCAAGGGAAAACTTCAGAAGGTATGAAGCATTTATCTTGATGCTGGTTGTGCATAACATATAATACCATATTTATTACTAATCTTATTAGATTCTCCTTTTATTTTGCTAAGCATAAATCTTTATAAGGCAGCAGCAGAAAAAAAGAACTATTTCCTACATAAAAATGTATTTGTTCACCTATGAAGTCAAAATTCAAATAAAAAACTAGGACTGTAAAACAGAGAACATGATTAGAGGCTTTAGAGATGAAGAAGAGCTGTTCTTGGGGTTTTTGGAGTGCATAAATCATCTCTCATCCATGTCCAGGCTTTTACAGCAACTCCAAGTTGCCATTCTCTTTTTTGGTTGATATAAATCTGTGGCTGACCCCTCCAACCAGCCTTTGCTAGTCTCAAGGCAGCCCTTATTTTCACTCATGAAAACTACAAAATCAGTTGTCTTTTCAAAAGCTTCAAAGAAGTAGCTCATGAAAACTAGAAAAGTTGAGGTTTCTTAAACTCAAATTAATTGAATACAACTGTTCTCTCTTTTCAAAAACTTCCAATTTCACTGGATTTTCAGGAAACCATGGAAATAACTGCTGGAAATTTTTCCTTCCCTGTTTTGGCCTGAAATAATTAGGCAATGCAAGGAAGAAGCTGTTGGATATCTATGACCATGAAAGGTCTTTTTTAGCTCTAGGATAATCGTCTCAAAGGCTTCCCTAGCCCAAATGCTGTCACCGGAATTCATCCAGCCTCAAGCAAGCATTGCTTCCTGTGGAATTACGCTCATTATTATTTAAGCATTGCTTCCTGTGGAATTACGCTCATTATTATTTCTTTAATTTTATTTAAGTACTTACTATATTTAGTCATCTATATTTAGTCATAATATCCATAATATCAAAAGGGTAATTCCTTAATTATTGGTATTTATGTTTATTCCATAATTATAGAAATTACTTATATCCTACCTGAGTCAGTAATGTCATCTAACCATCTAGTTGTATGTGAAAGTGTCAAGATCAGTCAAACCTAAATGAAGGGGAAAGGTGGATGTACTTTTAAAAGAACAAGATGGAGAATAGGTCTGTATGTGAAGTATGTGTCTAGATTATCTAATCTAAAGCAGATCTTAGGTTATATGTAGATTCACAAAGACATGATATGATATTAAGCATCAATAAGGCTACAAGTTGACATGTCACATATTTGTACTCATCAAAATAATTTTGTATGCTTAATCGTAGCTCCTAGACCATAGATTAAGTGTGTTTTCATTTTAAATCATCATGACCTATAAGTGATGTGTATGCCTCGAACTCTGATCATGATCATAGGCAAATCCACGAATAACATTCACATAGTTTCATTTGGCAATCAATGTAAAGCAATTAATGGATTGTAAAATAGTAAAATTGATAGAAAAGAGTATGAACTCCTTACTCTTCATTATTCTAAGCTTTGCTATCTTTGGGTTTCCTGCAAAATAGATGTCAACAAAACATAATAAGATTATAGCTCTACTTTTGTCATGTGTGTGTATAGGTGCACAACAAAGAAATCATGTAATGTGTGAATAGACTCCGACTACGACTAATTCAATGGGTGAATAAATATAAATATAGAAATTTAAAATTAATAAAGCAGTGTAATACATGAAAAGTATATGAATGCATAATATGATTTGATGTGAATGCAAGAAAATTATGATAGAAATGATAGAAATCTCCAAATGTTATAATATAATTTGACGTTGAAAACTTTGGCGTAAAATATTGAATTTTTTAATTGAACTTTTTTAACATGAAATTGAATTTTAATGTTAAATATAAATATGTAATTTAAATATAATTATTTTGTTTCGTTTATGGGGTGCATGAAATTTACATTAGTTATTTTATAACTAAATAGATGTAAAAACATAAATTTAATATTAAAAGTGGTCATGTTTTTAGTAATAAACATCAAATATATATTAATTCATGTATGTATATGCAAACAATGATTATTATTATTATATTTAAACTAAAAAAATATCACATCAATCATATAATATTAAAATAGATTTTAATATTAAACATTTAGTGCAGATAATTTTAAGTTAAATGTAATAATTTTAATGTAAAATGAAATTATTTTTGGGGAATCAAATAGTTTTTATATAATTATAAAACTTAGTTTTTCACATAGCATTTTAAAATCATTTCTGATTGTTAAATAATAAAAGAAATGAGCTTTAAAATTATGAAATAATATTTAAGTATAAAAAAAACATTCACTTTCTATTTTTATAATATAAAGTTTATCTCATATATCTTTAATAATTTTAATTCATTGTTTTTCTTACTAGTCAAAATAGTTGAGGCTCATAAATAATGTGGGCCTATGAGAGATTGAAGTCGAGCAAAATATTCATGCGAGCTTGAGTTAGCAGGTACTAGTTCTACGGATATGCTTCTCAAAGCAACGAGCGCTTGCTCCGACATAAACACAAAATACAGGGAGGAAACTCACTAATATCTACATGATGATAAGTAGGCTTCATCGTTAGCGAATGTTTATGTCATAGATGGGCAGCATAACGTGTTGGTTATATGAAATATGGAAGATGGAGCATTTGTTTGCTATAAAGGTATTGCAAGGGTGACAAACATCAAATGTTAAATTGTTGTCAATATTTGAATGCTTGTTAGTTGGAGAAAGAACAAGTGGTTTTGTAATTATTATTAGGAGGCTTGGGTAGTGAGAAATGGCGTAGATGTTTGATTTATGATAAATTTGGGGTATGTTGTGTTGATTTATGTATAGAGGGTAGTAGGTTTATTATGGGATTTGGTCGAGGCTATAGATGAGATATTTTGGGTGGCATTGGGAGTGCTAGGCGAGCTATGCATCGTTGCAGGCAGGGTAGAAGTAGGATCGATTGTAAGACTAGATGCTAGGTACTGGCCAGCAGATTTAGGTGGTGCCAAGCTTTGGCTTGTGTTTTGGTATAGCAAGCTTTAGAATTTAGTCATCGGAAACGAATGGAAGATTGTAGGAGTGGTAGGCTGCAAGTTAATTGATTTCCGACATTAAGCATTGACAAGTTATTTTTTGGCGTCTCCAGGAATATTAGATATTTGATGATGTCTGAACGATTTTTTTTTTCAACAAACTGATTAACCAATATTCAAATGACTTTAATTTTAAGCTCAAAGAAAAAAAAATTAGGATTAGCAAATCTAATTTTAAATGAAGACCCAAGTAGTTTCTTTTTTTTGGACAGTTAGAAGATACAAAATAATTTGAGTTGATTCTTTTTTCTTTGAACAATTGATCAACTGATATTTAAATGATTTTAATTTCAAGCTTTAAAGAAATAATTTAGGAATAGTCTATTTTAATTTTAAAATCAATACGCCCATTCCAAAATTTAAACGTCCCCATTAATGGCACCATTTTCTTAAAATGATTGCTTCTCATAGATTTTCTTATCCAAATCAAATTGACTTAGTCAAGTTGAAATTGGAGTTTGTTGATTGATCATATAGAAATGACGGAATTCATTGCAATCGTGGGGAATATCTATGATTGGAAAAAAATTATGATAGTGACTTACAATCAAATGAAGATTATGATCACGACAAAGCAAGCAAGATAAAAATAGAATGGTCAATTAGTGCATTAAGACCGATGAGCTTGAATTGGGATAACTTATGTGCATTGAATTTAATGTAGAAGAGGCTCAAAGCCAACCAAAATGTGTGCATAAAAGTTGAGCTTGAGTGCGACAAAAGTTGGTTAAACAAATTCAGAAGTAGCAATTTCCTACTCCACTTTGGTATTTTCTTGACATAGTAGGCAAATAATTTTCCTCATGTGAGAGTGTTTCTAAGTGAAAGAAATAGTTAATTTTTTTTATTAATGTAATCCTAGGTTTCTTTTAGTTCTTTAAGGTGATTCTTAAGTTTAATTCTAAAGAAATTAACCATTTTTAAGAAAGTATTACTCAAACAAAAGTTGAGTTAGAGTAGTTGAGTTGCTTAGCTACTTTTGCACAGGTGGTGATAATTGCAGCTTTGCATGAAAGGTTTACAAGGCTAAATGTGGAATCACAAGTAGTAGAGTGGAGTTTGATGGCAAGATATGCAGTGAAAGGGAAATTAATTGGAGTGGTGTGTCACAAGTAGATTGTCGGTGGGTGATAGAGGCAAGAAATGCCTTTATAGTAAATCGGTACATAGATGATATTATTTGGGATACACGTGCAATCCTTATCAATGGAATTTGGCCAGAGGTATGCGTTTGGTACATAATGGCATAAGATTGGACCACAGTTGCATTAGTAAGGTTCTGGATTCTCGTTGAAGCTGCGGGAGTATTGAAGTTTCGTGATGGATCTAGAATAAACTAGAGCAAATAAGGTCAAACCAAGAAGCAAAACATGGCAATTGACATGTGTGGAAGGTTTTAGGTTGGAACTTGTAGATTTTTTATATACGATGGACAAGACTGAGTAGTAGAAGCTAGTGGCGGGTGAACCTATAGGCATAATACAATGATGTCACGGGGTTTCCATGAGGTCATTTGTGTTGCAAAGGAAGTTAGTGCAAGGCATCTTATGTGATCAAGTAGAATGTTAGAATTGGAATGTGGCGTGTGGGTGTTGTTACTTAGCACAAATGCCTGAGATAAGTTTTAGGAACATGATTAAAGGCCTACAGTGGTAGAAAAGTGTAAGAGTATGTTGGGATTTGTAGATTCTGATTCTAGATGATATCAAGGGTGAAAGAAGAGTAATGAGTATTAAGGAGAGACTTGAGGAGAGAGAGATGGGAAACAATAAATGTGTGTATGTTTGAATGCGTGTGCACGCGCGCGTGAGAGAGAGAGAGATGGCTAAGTGTCCTATTTTTAGTGAAAGGAAGCAAAAATTCATAAGAAATTAAGTAGTTAAAAATAGACAGGAAATAAAATACAGCACACTAGAAGATGAAATAGATTCTAAATACACATTTCTAAATTCAGTATATAATATCCAGTAGATCACATTGTCAACATGGAATTTAAATCCAGATCAGATGACTGTCATCATAAATAATAGTCATCAAGCACTAGAGAGGTCTGATAATTAAGGACAAGAGGGTGTTCTATAAATCTTGGTAGGAGGTGAAGAATGGTGATAAATTGAAGCTTGATGTTGTAGGTTGGTTATGCTATCATAGAGCTTTATATGTAATAGCATTTACAACATAAGAATAAATGATTTATGATCAAATAACTGATCAAAAAATATTCGAGTTTTTGCATTTGCTAAAAAATCAACCAAATTTTATTATGGTCAAATTTGTTGGTGCAAAGAATTTTATTCAGATAATGCGTGAAACATGAGCTGGATTGCTTTGCAATCAAATGAAAGGGAGATTTGGATTCAAGTAGTCCAAGATGGGCTGAAATAATTTTCTTCTAAGGTAATTTGAGCAATCAATATTTCATGCACATGATGTGATAATGGGCAATGATTACTTGTCGAAAAAAAGGAAAGAGGTGGATTCAAATTTATAAATGGTACGAGTAAAGGCCTGTTTGAAGTCCTTTGACCATAACTTCTAAGAGCTGCTTGGAATGTGGTGTGGTAAGAAGAGAGAATTATGAAATTAGATTTTTGTGGGATAAAAAATACCCCTAGGCGGGCCTAACCCACCAATGTGTGTTTCACTGGGATTTTTTATGGTAACTTGACTAGTATGAAGGATAAAGGATAAATTTTGGATTTAAACTTTTTTTTGTAGAATTTCAACGTACAAACTACTTATTAACCCTTTAAGATGGTTATTTATGTACCATATCTTTATATAGGTAACTAATCTCATCCAATTGTTCAAAATAAATGCTAATGGGTAAGTGTAGTTGTAGGTTAAGACAACTTAGCTTCGGGCCATTATTAATTTTAAGTAGAAAAGTAATAAAATCAAATAAAAAATAAATCTGCACAAATTTGATAAATAAATAAATCCTAATAAAACCCCAGGAAAAATTTGAATTATGGAGGTATCACCACCGTCTTATAAATCTAAAGTCTAACCTAAATCCTAATAAAAGCCTATAAAAAAACTTGAATTATGGAGGTCTACATTGGAGTCTAAAGGCCTTAATTTGAGTAGAACTAAAACCGAATACATGAAATCTAATTTTAGTAGTAACAACTCTAGTGACTGAAGTATAACTTTGAGTGATCAAATTATTAAAAGGTGTGAACAATTTAGATATCTCGGGTTTGTTGTTCAAAGCAATTGTGATATAGATGGGGATGTTAATAGTAGAATTCAAGTTGGTTGGTTGAAGTGTGATATAAAATTACCACTTAGACTGAAAGGAAAATTTTATAAGACGGTGGCGAGACCTGCAATGCTCTATGGTGCTGAATGTTGGCCTTTAAAAGAGAAGCATAATTCTAAGTTAAGTGTTGCCGAGAGAATGATTAGGTGGATGAGTGGCTTTACACTTAGAGACAAAATGTGAAATGAATATATCCGTGATAGGGTTGGTGCATCTCCTGTGATGGACAAAATTAGAGAAAGTCATCTTAGATGGTTTGGTCACATTAAGCGCCGATGATGATCCAATTAAGAGAGTAGATGTTTTAGATTCGACTTATGTTAAGAAAGGCAGAAGTAAACCTAGGAAGACTTGGGCGTATTGTATAAAAAATGATCTTAATTTATTAGAACTAAATGAAAATATGACACTAAATAGGAGGCAATGAAGAAAAAAAGATTCATGTAGCCGACCCCACAAAGTGAGATTAAGGCTTTGTTGTTGTTGTTGTTGTTGTTGTTGAAAGTCTAACCTAAGACATGTTTGAAAGTAGGATCTGTGCTACCTCAATTGGCAGATCAGGATTAAATATGCGATGGCACTTGTATGTCTTTAGCAACTGCATGAATTAGTGGAGAGGCTATACCTACTCTGGTTTCTTTGCTTTTCATTGCCTAATTTTCATATTTTTTATTTTAACTTGTCTGTTCCTTTTTTGCATTGACGTGTGCGAGCGCCAAAGTAAAATAGAATAAAATGAAGTATGCTAAGATTTAGGCATTGTGGTCCACCCGGAAATCTGAATTTGCTTTACAGATGCAGTTAAACTTAAAAGTTTAGAGTCAACACAAAAATATGCAAAGAGTTTGGTTTTTCTCACTAATGAAACATAATCAATGCTTAGATGCCACGTTGATGCATCAACAAAAGCATTTAGATACTGTTCCTTGGAAAAATAACTTCATTAACAGGGAGATGTTGATAAGAGATATCTAAGGGAAAGTATGGGTGTGAGAATTTCAGAGGAAGGGAGGGAGGGAGGCCAATGCCTAGTAGTTTGAATTAGGCTAATGATGATGATAATGAGGTCATCCACAATAAATTGATGTTTCAGGTGACATAAGAGTCAACGATAAGAGATATCTAAGGGAAAGTATGGGTGTGAGAATTTCAGAGGAAGGGAGGGAGGGAGGCCAATGCCTAGTAGTTTGAATTAGGCTAATGATGATGATAATGAGGTCATCCACATATGTCATGATTTATATCACAAGATAAGCCTAATGAAGACTGCCTTTTTTTAACCCAGCAAGGTGGTAACTTCAGGATGTTCCCTCATTGTTTTCTTTCTTTTTTTTTCTTAATGAAAACGTCTGGACATCATATATTGTTCTTGAGCAAGAGTATAACATTCCAATCAATTTTTCTTTTTAATATGCCCGTATTTGGTCTCACTTGATGTCCTTTTTTCTTAAATGTGATTTAAGCTATAATATGAGCTCCATGTGCTTGATCTCTGCGATTTAACATGTCATGGTCAAGGTTGGGCTTCACTCAGGACCATCCTGACGTAATCTTCCGTCCTCTCTCTTTTTGCTTCTCTGATTCTCTAATTGGCACTCATTGATCAAAAATTGAAATTACTAAATTTCCTGTTTCCAGCATTCCATCTGAGGCAGCTCTTTCAATCAGGCAAGAGTTTATCATGGAAATACTTGGCATCTAGATAGTGTTCCTTGTTTATTCAACAGGAACTTATTAGTTTGTTGAGATTTCTGGTTTTCTTCTGCAATATTCTATAATATACAATTTTGCTCTATTTCCGTTTTTGCTAGGATATATTGAAAATATCATTAGGTTAAATCTAATATGTCATTTGATAAAGTTTCTCTGCCTGTCTCCCTTGTAATTATCTTCCCTGGTCTAACTCAGTCTTTGACTGAATCATAGAACTTACATTTGATTCAGATGTATGGAGAATTTGTCTTTCTGAATGAATGAAAAGTATAAAATATGAAGTTGTTTTTCTGTTATGCAGTTGATTAAACACATCTTTTATTCATTTGTACTGAATATGGCATATTTTTTTTATCTGGATTTGTCTTTTAGGTCATTTGTTTTATTTGCATTGCTCAATATTTTATGCAGATTAAAGCAATTGGAACAATGGAAGAGATTTTTGATATGGTTTACCCTGTATTTGCTTCTTTAAGGTATAAAATTACCCATTGATTGTTAGTTCTCTTAGAAACAAACTGGAACTGTAAGCTTTTAAAGTGCTGTTCTTTATGATCATAAACTCATGAGTATAAGCATTTGTTTTTTATATGTATTAATTATTTTTGTCTCTCATTTTTGACACTAGAAAGTTTAGAACTCGTTAGCTATACTTGTTGAATCAATAATAATATGCACTTTCATGAGATCATTTAGTTACATTATTAAATACAAAGTTTTCCAAATGTTATTCGATTCAATTTAGGCTGTTCTATTTCAGAATATTTTGATCAAATAATCCTGCTTAAATTGTAGATGCCTCCATGTATTTGGAATTTTTTAATCCTGCCTTTTATTTTCCATATCTATGGAATATGATATTCTGCCTCTTTTACTCTGCATATTTGAATGTCAACCAAGTCAACTTTATTGAGTGGCTTAGATGGCTCTTCTCATGCTTCATTTGCTATGCTCCTAGCTAATATTTGTTAGTTTTATTTTGTTTTTAAGAAAAATCAAGTTCTTCAAAGCTTGTTTCCTTCTCAGTCCCATTACAACAGTTTCTGTTTTGATAGATTCGGTGGTCTTAAAAATTTTGATTATCTTTTATGATTAAACCCTGAACCGACTGAACTGGTTCAAGTGGACAACCCTGCGTCAGCCTGGCTCCAACAAAACTCAATCTGATGTTTGATCCTTTTTACCTTCAATTCCTGCTCCATATTTCAATGGCCGTGCACCTCTTCACCACATGTGATGGAGTTAGCCATGAAAAAATGCACTTCTTCATTAGCCCCTTCATTTCAGGGTGTGTCCTGACCATTCCTAACTCAATTTTGGAATAAATAAATAAATATTTTTAGAGTGGGTTATATATATCTAGTATGTCAAAGGTGCGGCCATGGAATACTTTTTATATCATTCATTCTTCATAGCCTCCAAGATATATAACTGAAAAAACACTAAAAAAAGGCTGGCGAGATGTCAAAGGTAAACTGACCAAAAAAACACTAAAAAAATCCAAAACGAAAGTTTAAGAATAGACTTTTAATAATGCCATTAAGAAAATATAGGAATTTATAAGACTTGCTTCCACAAGTTCTTCAGAAAAAAGGCTGGCGAGATGTCAAATGAAGCAAGCTTCCCACAGTTTTTATGCATTAAAAACAAAAAGAAATTGAGCTAGATTTGTTTTTTTGGAGGGCTAGTGTGACAGATTTTGTTTAATAAATTTTAATTTAATTTCTCATTAAAATAGTTTGTCAAAACAAATGAAATTTATTCAACAAACTACCTAAAAAATTCTAAATTAAAATAATCAGTTTGTAGCAAAAATCATCAAGCCAAACTTCCATAATATTTTTGAGCTTTGCATAAATTCTTATAAAAACAATGGAAAGCAACATGACAACTAACATTTCTATCTTCCTCACCGTGCAATGCGGAGTGCATTATGCTTTTATATACTCAAGAAAAGGATTGTTTCCACCATAACTAGAGCTTACTTTTGCTGGTGGAACTAGGGATGCTACGGAGGGTGGGCCCCTTAGAATTTGAGAAAAATACTATAAAATTGTATAGAATATCAAAGTTTAATCTTTATGGTCACTTACAATTGTGTTTATCAGAAAAATTTTGCTCAGTCCCCTCACCCCCAATTAAATTTTTACTTCTGCTGTTGTTGCTTAATATGGCTATTAAATGACTAAAAGCTTTCTCCTCTTGCAGGCTTGAGTAGCAATGCCGGCCTCAAAGAAGCTGAGTTAACTCTAAGAAGAGCATGGTGTTGATCATTCAGGTTCTGTTTAGGGGATAAATCTCTCTTGTTTCAGAAGCAAATACAATAAACAAGCCCATGCACTTTCTCTCTCTCCAGCAGAAGAATAATATTTTTGATGAATAATTTCTCAGAAAGCACATGATTCTCTTAAAACTTCTTTCAGCCAACTTCATAATCATATTGAAGAAGAAAGATCATTAATCATAAACAGGTGATTACTGCTTATATGCTGCAGCGATTGAAATGTGGGAACACTAACACTTGTCATTCTTATATTAGATTTTAATTGTGTCAGGAGAAGTTTTTAGTTCATCTTCAACCTATTATTCTGTAATTGATCAACCATCAAGTAAACAACGGCTATTTGGTTGTATGAAATCATATTTGATATGATTCAAGGCATGTATTGTTCTCATAAAATCAAAAGTATAATGAAATTGTTCAAAATCCAGAGTGATTTTGGTTTAATGGTGGACTGCATACCATCCATTCAACGTAGCACTATTTTCACATGTTTCTTTTGTATAGGCTAAGAGTCAATTTGGCATTATTTTTTTGTTTGAAAATGTGTTTAATTGATATAATTTTTAGGAGCGTTTACCTACATACAAACTAGAACCTAGCCAGTATTCAGAACATTCTGTAGCAATAAAAAACTTTCATCATACAAGTTTGCAAGATCTATAGCTAGCAGCAGATAAATTAAATTTAGGAGAGAAAAGATAGATTTTTTTTTTTTTACAAAAGTATGCCAAATATATTCATATCAAAGTAGAAGGGATTACAGTTCTCTATCAGTACGTCTATCTCATATTTGAATGAATCCAAAAACAAGCCGAGGGTGAGCCCAGCCTTCCAATAATTAAACATGGTAATGATACCCCTTAACTTGTCGAAGATTCGTGAAGAAGCTCTGTACATTACGGCGCCAATGGCCTCGACCACAACTACAGCCAAACCAGCAGATAGAATATCCCAATCTCCTGTTTGTCCGATAACAGTAGCGAAGGCAGTGGCACAGTAAAACCCCACCAAGAAGAACAGAACCTTCACTGAAAGACCGCTTCGGAGCTCCTTGATTCTACTGCTTAACTTTCTTAGTAAAGATTGGATGGTTCTGATCAGCCTGTTGTTGTTTTTTTGAGGGCCTGATCTGGTTTCATCCACCATGCTCTTGACTTTAAGCTTCCTGCATCTGTAACATTTTTTCCATTTACATACATACCCACCCAATTCTTATGCATTTACATTCTACTGCTTAACTTTCTTAGCACCAAGATTTCCATCTTATTCATGGAAAGCAAAATACAAAAGCTCAGCTTCAACTTACCTTGAGTTGTTAACTGAAGTGGCAGCTAGACACATGAAGAAAATATGAGGATTAGGGCCTCTAACAGCCTTCTGTAACACAGACAGTAAAAAAGTTCTTGATCTATATATGTTCTGTGTATGACAAGGCAACACTAACAGCTGTGTTGCCATGCCCTAATATTCACCTGCAATAGTAAAGTTATGAATGAATGAAACCAGAATAACCCATTTCGAATGAGTAGATGCAATCTGACAAATAACAATATATAATCACATGATTCAATAAAATTCGAATGATTGATGAATGCTTTAAAAATGATGTAATAAACTTCATACAGAACATGTAGATCTTTCTTTACATGTTGGATTCTAGGGTTAAGGCGACGGCATTATAATCTTCCAAAGAAATCAGTTAGTAATCTTATCTGGCAGCACTAGACGTCTAATTACCCGCTTAACGTAGTTATTAGTATAAGAACATAACTCTAGGGATTCTTTCTACTTCCATTAATACTGCTTCTGTAACAATCCCAATCGCAGACTAGCAGAGTTAGAGGTGCCAAATGCTCTAGGGTTTCTTCTTTAATTTTATAGTCTATTTTACTTTAAACGCGCGAAATAGACTATAAAATGATAATTTTCAGAAAACCGACCATCGATATCGCCATGTTAGGTTGGCCGCTTACCGGAACGAGCGCAGCGCTAACAGAATTGCGGCGGAGCTATGCTATGTTTGCTTCGGCGGCCATCAACCGAAAGAAAGACTATACAGCACGGAGACGACGGGAGGAAAGCGAAACTATTTTTGGTAAAATTAACTTAAATCTTATTTATTTGCATATATATAACACCTCTACGGAACGGGAAAAAATATTGCATGATAGTCCAACCAGGCTCCATTACGTGTACAGATAAATTGCCTGTCTGTACACTGATAGACTCTGATTGGATCCTGATGCAATACTGCATTAGGACTCACTCGTGCATGCAATAATTTTTTTTGTATGAAACTGCCTTTTTTTACTTTTTTTTTTTTTTATAATTAAAATGATGATATTTTTTAGGTGATATAAAAGAGTTCGGACACACTCGTGCATATAATGAAATATAAATATGACTATTAAATTTTGGTATATATGTAAATATGTAAGAATTGAATGAACAAATGCATGCAAACGCCCCATAATTGAATGGAATGAGCAAATATTTTGAAGGCTATATATTGAAAAGATGATTTTATAATTTAGGCATGAATATCAAAGTGTGAAAAATGTATTAATAAAATTAATTTATAAAATTATTGTAAATAAAAAGTGATATACTATGACAATTTTGATGAAAAATCATTCCAATTTATATATATATATATATATATATTGAACACTTCAATCAAAAGTCAATTTTGAATGTTTAGCATGATAATATTAGGCTAGCTTATGTAATGATTCTAAAATATCTTCTCTGTCTCAATGCAAAATATATGAATGTATATCTTATGAGTTCTCTCTATATGCTATGAAGAATACTAATTTTTTAGTTATGGCAGTCAGATATATGAAAAATAACTTTATGCTAATGAGCACCATATCTAAAGCATATGTAAAGCTTGCTCCAAATGATGTAAAATCAAGTGAGTTCTTTAGGGAATGCATGCTTAAAAGCTCTCTTCTTTTTCTTAGCAAAAAAATGCAACCATGTAATGAGTGCAAAATGATTATTTAAAGTCATCCAGGATTGAATCTAATTCGAGTAATGCTCGAATAAAGCTATATAATGAATGTCCGAATACCATGCAAGAAATTGAACCATCTTTGAAACTTCATATTCAAATCATATGCCAATAGGGTTCAAACATGTTTCAATAAAATTTGAATAACCTTTGAACAATGTTTAAATAGAATTTTGATTTGAATAACCTTTGAACAATGTTTAAATAGAATTCAAACAAAATTTCATTTTTTCTTGAATACTATTTGAATCTTGTTTGAATTTTACTGAGCCTCATACAAACTAATACCAATAGTCACAAGCTTTGAAAGAAAGACACTACAATAAAAAATTAGGGCATCTCAATCCAATTTCTTTTTTCAGCATATTTCTCCTAAATAATAACAGGCATTTTAATAATAATTTATTGAATGACAAACATTACATTAAATCAAACATAGAACAAATCATAATGAGAAGCACTATACCATTTATAGTCTTACAAGAAACATTACATTAAAGAGATGTAACGAACATTCACAACCTTAAGAAATACAATTCAAGAAATAACAATATTCATAACATAATATAATACAATCCCAAAAACACCACCAAAAATATAAATTGCAAAGACAACAATAAAAGACCAATAGATATTATGGTTATACATTTTATTTAATAGTTAATATTATCACTAAAAAAGTCAAATTTTTGATCTTACTGGAACTATAAACAAGTATCACTAAAAAAGTCAAATTTTTGATCTTACTGGAAATATAAACCAATTAAATGTGCAGCCTCTTGAAAATTAGTAGAATTTAAAACATTCTTATCAAACAGTACATGATAAAGAATTGATCTGTTTGGAAAGACAAACTTGATACAAGAAAACACATTTTTGCACTTTCTTTCAATAAGGCTGTTAAATATATTGATCAATGCAAAATCTAACAAAAATCAAAATTACATGACATTGCCTTCAGTATTAAAAGCAATGAGCTCACAAACCTTAAACTGTCTAATAAATTTCACCAAAAAAATAATACTATTTTTACATTTCAGACCATATTAGAACACACATCATCAATTAAAATGTTTAGGACATCAAGTCATAAGACTGTCAACCGATCAAGGTGGCTTGAGAAAGCAAATAGTAATTCATTAAAAGAAAAAAAAAAACCCAAAAAATTCTAACTTGGTCATCTCCCTCTGAAAGTTTTATAAATTAAATGTAAATTCTAAAAATTTGAGAAAACAAGAAATTATCTGTAATACCTAGAAAGAGCCAAGCTCATATTGTACAAAATAACAAAATCTGCTATCCTTTGGAAGAACAACTTCAGAGGTAAATTCCACCACACTGTTCTAAAGAACGATACAAAATAAATTCCTGAAGAAGCATATAGTCAAAATTCACATCATTTTTATCATATTCTGCTAATATTGTTGGGGATCCATGTGACATGAGATAATACCTTATTCTTGAAAATATTGTTGGGGATCCATGTGACATGAGATAATACAGTAGAAGCTTATTCTTGATTCAACCCATAATCAATGCAATTGATTCATGCACCTCACTAAATCATGTTTTTTTACTCCAGCATCTTAATCTTGCAGGAAAATAAAGAATGAAAATTACAAAAATTGCCTACGGAACATAGAAAAAAAATCAACTCCAAAAGTAGCATAAAGTATGACAAACAGACCATATCTTTTTATTTAAAACTGCAATACAGCGGCACTAAATAGCTTGTGAGAGCAGGAGAACAAAAGCAGGGAAATTTACACGGTGAAGTGAGAGATTATATCTACATAGCAGCTACTGGTTTGGCTCCTAGCATTGATAAATCATATTGGCAAGCGCCAAAAATAGAGAAAAGCTATTTTAAACCTACAAGTAATTACAAGCTAACTAATGGAAAACCAAATCTGCTGGTAATAAAGCTCTAATTTTCTTCAGGTAGAGTGCGTGGATAAATAAATAGCTTGTAACGGCCCACAAGCAAATGATTACATCATCGACGGCGATGCTGCAGCTGATACGCTTTCTCTATTCTGTCAGCATACATAGGAAGCCGCACAATCTCTGATATCTCATTCAGAAGCACATCCTCTGTAATGTTATCTGAAATGCTCCTCATTACCTGTGTTGTGCGAACATGAAAGAAAGTTCAGCAATAAACAGAGGTCATAAATGAGCAACAGATGGAAATAAATCTTACAGCGATAAGTTAGAAATATTAAAGCTTTAATTGAGGAAGCAAAATAAGAAATAGATTACCTTCCGATAAGTATTGATATCATTTGGTGTAGATTTATCAGTTCTGACACGCATACAAACCCAGCAACCATTCTCTTGGTCCCATGAACACTCTATTATCTTTCCTGAATAATCTTGTAAATCATCATTATGTTCATCTGCACAACAAAAATAGTAAGGATTTTTTCATTGTATATCTCATTCTCTAAGCCAGATATCCACTAACAAACAACAATTGTACTCGTCACATTCAACAAGTTCAAAACACAAACGATACAAGCTTGAATACATTTTTCGATCTCAATTAAAAAATGATACAATGAAGAACAAATGGTAGCTCATTATTAATTGTATTGATAATAACTCACTAAAACATGATTCTTTTTTGACTGAAAGAAGTTTGGTTTAAGTTTATCCGGTGATTCAAGTTCATTTACCTTTAAGAGATTCAAACAGAACAAACAAAAAATCTAGTTCGAACATCACCGTCTTAGCTCAAACAAGAGCCAACTCTCATGTTGGACTCCTTTAAACTGTACATCACCCTAATCATATAAAACTAAGAAAATAAACAATGAGTTCTTCAACACACATTCATTTGGTTCAACTGCTGATGCTATTGAGAAAGCTTTGTTCAACTGCTTGTTTCCGTTCAACTGCTTAGTTTTAAATGCCAAATGTTGATTTGAATCATTTCTTCTTTCATTTTTCATATACAATTATTTCCCTTCCCATGCATGCCGTGAATATATCTGTATCAGAACATATAATGCATATCGGTGTGGTGTATTATGTTGGGCACCTCTTGTTGGACTTCAGGCCCATGGCTAAAACAACTTGTTATACTGGGATATGAGTCATATGGAGACAAATCGTTGGCTCCTTAATCTTCTTCAACTTCTTCCACATCTCCTTCATCTTCCTCCAGCAATTTTCTTGAGTGTTTGAGTAGATCTTCTTAGTGAGGAGGTTGGCTAAAGGAGAAGTAAGGAGAAGTAAGGTGCCTACTCTCCTACACTAAAGAAGAGCTTCATCTTAGCTTGGAAAAGAAAAGTTGGAGCTTCGTCGGAGCTTGGAACTTAGCCGGAATCTCGCCGGACTCTCCTTCTAAAGGAGTGCTTCTTCGTTCTTTGGAGAATGAGTGGAGTGGACCTCTTCAGAGCTTTGCTGGAACGTCACCATCTCTCCTACCATTAGGAGAGTTTCATCCTAAGTGAATAAAGGTGACATTAAACGCTACGTTGGTAAGATTCTTGAAAATCCCTCATGTTTTCTTTCTTAGCTAGCCCTAGGAGTAGATTTTGCTGGGTGATGTGGGTTCGGTCGCCCACGCTAGGCAAGTTGATCGACCAACACTACTCGTCATAACCACATGCTTATTGCTTGGCCGTCTATTTCCTAGAGGAAGCCCTAGGTTAGAAAGCTCACATGCATGGCCAAATCCTTTGCGAAGACGAGCGACTTTCCGTTGCAAACCTTAGACCTAAATCCTAGTGGGTCAGAATCTCAATTTCCAACGGCTTTGGTGCTTTGAACTTTCCTTGGAAGTGTTGGAATTGTTGGATCTTGAAGGATGGGAAAAACTTTGTAGCTAGCCCATTCTAAAGGATTGTGGGAGGTTCGTAAGACGAAAAAAACTTTGTAGTTAGTCCGCTTTACGAACAGTGAATAACTTCTCCTACAAGAAATCAAAGGAAGAAGTTCTTCACATTCTCGCCAAAGCCGGAGGTGGCTATGTTGCATATCCATGTGCTAAACCCTAGGTATCGATGCTAACGGTAACATGAGTATAAATCGCTACCGATCATGATCACTTGCATCATGTTGGGTTTGTATTACATCCTAAACTTTGCATGTTGCATCACGCTTTGGCTAGACCAGCCGCCTCAATACGGCCAGCCTTGCACTTAGGTCCGACTTGCCTCTTTGGCCTGATCGACATATCACTTTGGTTGGATCAGCTGCCTCGACCCAATCGACCAATCACTGTGGTCCCACAAGTCACCCCCGCTCAGCCGACCGATCACTTTGGTCGGAACGGCCGCCACGACATGGTTGATCAATCACTTCGGTTCAATCAACCGTCATAGCCCAATTGAGCCCGTTGGTTACATTGCCCTGGTCAACCCAACATCTTCTTAGCCCAGGAACTCATTGAAGAATTAGGTAAGAAATGAGGAAGCAACAATATAGTGGTGAAATTTGATATAAAAAAAAAGCTTTTGACACAATCAATTGGGATTTTATCCTAGATGCCTTGCTTGCAAAAGGTTTCCATATGGATTTTTCTTTGCTTATTAAAAGGTGGCTTCAGAAAAATTTTTATAGTGTGCTTGTCAATGGGACGTAATATGGGTTTTTCTCAACAAAAACGAGGTAACAAACAGGGGGATCCTCTCTCTCTCTCAATTCTTTATTATTGCTTTTGATTGTCTCTCACGTTTATTTGAAAAAAAAGAAAATTATTTTGCCTTACACACAATTTTCTCACAAATTTAATATTAGAGTGAGTCGTTTATCTTATGTTGATGATGTTATCCTCTTCACTAATGCCAGCAAGAACTCCATTAGAAAATTGATGGATACTGTCTCTTTTCCAAAATACTTATGTCCTCACTTTCAACAAAACCAAATGTCATCTCTACTTTGGGAAAGTAGTAAGGCAAAACATTATCAGTTGGTCCGTCAATTTCACAAGAGGTTTTATTTCATCTTCCCTTCCTATCACTTAGGAGTCAATATTCTAAGAGACAGAAGAAAACAAATCCAAAATGGATTTGGTTGTTGAAAAAATTAAAAACCAAAATTCGGGGATGGAAGAATATTTTTCTTTCTAATGGGGGAATGCTTACTCTCCTTTCTAATGTTTTACATAGCATTCCTCTTTATGTCTTACAGGTGTTGAATTTGAAGAAAAGTACACAAATTACTTTGTAAAGGATTTTTAATAGGTTCTTATGGGCGGGTAATACCTCCAGGAAAATCTGGGCTAGTTGGCATAAAATTTCGTGATGGAAGTTCTCTTTGGGCTCAATTTTTATTACATAAATATTGTCTAGCTAACCATCCTTATATTGTTCAATGGAAAACTGGTGATTCTAAAATCTGGAAAGCGATTTAAAAAGAAAGAAGTGAGGCTAATAATTTCATTTTTTGGGAATTTGGTGATGGCAAAATTTCCTTTCGACATGATAATTGGGGGGTTGATTTATTGGGTAACTCTCCTCTTAGCTCTTCTCATCCTCATATATCGGTTTGTCATGTTGTCATTGAAGGGCAATAAAATTTGCCGCTTTTACGTGAATTGGTAGGTAATGCGGCCCCACAAGTTTCTATGATTCCTATATGCAATAATATTAAAGACAAGCTTCACTGGAAATTAAGCAAAAAAGTCTCAATCATCATTTTGATAAATAGAAATGAGGTCCTAAAATCTGGCATAAATATCTCTCCCCATATATTTCTGCTTTCTTATGGAGAAATTTTTTACAGTTGTTGCCTTCTGATGACATCTTAAAACTCAAAGGCCTGCGGTTGGCCACAAAATGTTGTTTGTGTAAATGCTTCCAAGAAAGGGCTTCACATTTATATTTCTTTTGTCCCTTTGCTAGCTAGATATGACATAGTTTGGGAAGGTTTTTTGGTTTGAAAAATTTTACTTGACATAATATGAAAGATTGCTTACTTGCTTGGCAATCTTGATCTTGTCTTGTGGTTCATCGGACACAACAATGCATCTCATTCCTAATATAACTTTGTGGTTTATTTGGTACGCCAGAAACAATGTGAAACATGAGCTCTCTTCCTCTTCCCCTCTCTCCACAATTTCTTACATTCTTGCCTACCATGCAAAGGTTTCTAAATAGATACGATTGTTGCCTAGATCTTTGCCTAAGGAGGGCTGGAGGCCATCTTTAATATATTGATATCCCCCTACCCTCGGCTGGATCAAAATTAATGTTCATGGAAGTTAGAAAAAATGCACGGCCGATGCTGGGGCCATTTTTAGAAATTATTTGGGCAAGTGTCTCTTTTATTTTTCTTCTCCTGTCTGGGCTTTAACTCCTACTAAAGCGGAGGGCAATATTTCTGGCTCTAAACGTTGTTACTTTTAATTAGCCTACAATTTTTATTGAAACGGATTCTTTTATTCTTCTGGATTTCATCATTAGAAAACAAGAGCCTCATTGGAATTTAATTATTTGTCTTAATAAGATTTGACAATTTATAGCTTCTCATGACCTTCAGGTCATATGGAATTTTATATACAGGGAGAAAAATGCACTAGTGAATTGGTTAGCTAAACATGATTTTTTGGGTGTTTCACGGGTTTGGTGCCTCCCAAGGAGCTTAACATACTTTTAAGGGGAGACTTTGAATCTTCCTTATATCAGATTTTCACCATGATATGGCTTACAGTCTCCTTTCATCCCTAAAGGTCTTCGGTTTCTGGCTTTAGGGGAGGATCTTCTGCTCTATTAATCCTCATCTTTTTGCAGCTCTGCTACTCCTGTCGAGGAATACCCTCTTTCAGATGATTACTTTTACTTTTGTTATACTGCATTTCTCTCATTTTACTTAATTTTCTTCTTATTTCGCTACAATTTCTTTCTTTAAGTTGTTTTTTGGGTATACATGTAACTATCTTTTGGAGTTTTTGGGTGTGTTGTATACCCGGGGAAAGATTCTACTTTCTGGATTTTTCCTAACCCAGTGTTGTCCTCCCTTTTCTTATTCTATATCCCGTACAGGTTTTTGCATATATATATATATATA